TAAGTGGCTCTAGAGCTAGGTGTGGGCAAGGCAACCAGAGAACACTAGAAGGTATTGCCAACTTCCAGAAGGACTTTGCATTCAGGTTGCTTTGTGAGTATTTTATTCTGTTCAGAGAAACCCAAATTGGCAAATTTAAGTCGGGCACAATGGGTGTAGTTTATGCAAGAAATGGGTAGGGCCCTGAGAGAGAAGACCTCATCCTTCCTGAATGTTGGGCATTTATAGGCTCTAAGGTACACTAAAATGTTTGAAGTATGCACGTTTCGGCATTTGCTATTCCTGCTTTAGGTGACCAGCTGCACATCCCAGTGGAGCCTGATACGAGGGCTGCATTGTCCCATCGTGAAAAGATCACAAAGTAATGACAGTTAAGTGAAGTAAGCAAGTTATCAAGCATTTCAAGTATGACAGTGGTTACCTTGGGATGGGGGAGATTTTCTTTCTCTTATCTGTATTAGCTACAAGAATCCAGTGTTATTTTTTATACATTTTCAAAAGAAGTAAAAACATACCCCATAGCCCTCTGCCCCACTCAAGTCCAACCTTTCCTCCCTGGGCTGCCCGTGGCCAAAGAACTCAGCCCTTCTGTTCGACCAGGGTCCTTAGTCACTACATGATGCTCGCCTCGCCTGGCCAGCCTTAAACTCTCCCTCCCTGCACTCCCTGGGATTCACCCGCACTCATGGAATTTCGATTGTTTTTGGCTTCTGGGGGGCCCCCAGCCAGGGCTGGCCAGTGGGTGCAGGGTGAACCCCAGGGCCACCCAGCCCTGCCCACCAGGTTTCTCCTTCCTCTGGGGCCTCTCCGTACCTGCCGGGTTCTGAGAACCATGGTGCTATTTTTCTTCCTCCACCCATACCTAGACAGCTCAAAAAAAAAAAAAAAAAAAAAGTCAGGTGAAGGCGGGAGAGAGGCTTCCAGAAACGGTTCCAGGAGAGTTCCAGAAGAGCCTCTGGTCTCATCGGCCTCAGACTCAGCTGAGGGACGGAAACTTCCTCTTGGCGGTGGGGTGGGCTTTGAAGGAAGCCATAAAGGGAGAAGGTCGTGCACCCCCAGCCAGGCCACCTCTTTGGTGAGGTCAGAACTATTGGAGAAACCTCGCTGTGGTGCTTAAGAGTTACGTAACTGGAAGCTGGTCAGTTAACTTGGGCCTCAGTTTCCCCACCTGTAAGATGTGAACTGTGGCTTCTATTCCGAGGAGTTGCCATGAGGATTAAGCGAGATGATTATGTGGAAATCAATGCAGAGGGTGCCAGAGAAGAGTCAGTCCTTCCCCTCCCCCCTGTTTACTGACTTCTGTATATTTTTGATCTCCCCTTTCCATCCTTCTCTCCATCAGACCACAGCCTCCTGCCCTCCTCCTCCAAGAAGTCCCCCTGCATGGCTCACATCTATGCTCTTCCAATTGGCTCGGTTTGCATGGTGTTGCCCACCCGGAAATCGTTACTTAACCTCTCTGGGCTTCACGTTCCTCTTCTGTAAAATGGGTCTGATAACTAGGACCCATCTCAAGCAGCCACTGTGGACTTTAAAAAATGCACGTGAAGTAACCAAAAGAGTGCTTGGGGCGCGCTTTGGCCCTCACTCGTGGGTGTGTGTGTGTGTGTGTGTGTGTGTGTGTGTGTGTATTTGTGTGTGTGTGTGTGTATTTATCATCTGCATTATATCTGGTTTTTTTTTTGCCACTTCCCCCTCTGCCTAAGCCCATCACTAGCTCTTTCAGTTCTTTAGAACCACATTGTACGTTCCCTTCTCCTGCCTAGAATAGGTCTCTCTGCAATATATTTATTGAATTAGCTTTTTTTTTTAAAAAAAAAAAAAGCATCTTGGGGAGACATCCAGTTCTGCTTTCTTAGGGCCAAAAGCACCACTTGCGTACTCCCTGCAGGCTCAGCCTCGCTCCCTGTGATGTGTTCTCGGAACGCGGACAGACTGTGAAAGCAGATGGGTTTGGCCTTTGCTCATGTGAGTTAGCATTTTAGCCGAACCGCAATTTCACCGCCGGAGCACACAACAGGCCGGAGGAAAAGCTCAGGGCTTTAAACAATCAGTCATTCAAATGTAGCCGCAGTAGCCACTGCTTCTAGATACTGGTGGATGGCAGAGATTGACAGTGTGGGTTTCCCTGGCATCAGCTCATGAAGAGTTTTTGAGAGCTGATCTTTACTTCATTCTTGTGTGTACATCTTGTCTCCCTAATTAGGCTGTAAACACCATGAGTGCATGGTTATGGTTTGGGTAACACCCCGCTAGGCTCAGGTCAGTAGACCAGGCAGGAGGCTCCTGCGGGAGTCAGGGTGCGCCGTGGACAGGGCCTTGGACCCGCCAGGGGTGTGTGAGTGTGTGACGGCGGGGGAGACGCAGGTGCAGAGGAGGGACATCCAGCAGCTCTTGCTGAAGCTGAGTCTAACGCCTTACTCTGTGTTCCCTGAACTGTATCCTGTCTACAGGCCTGCCCCGCAGGGAGCCCCCTACCTAAGCAAACCCTTAGAGACCCTTCCGCCACCCACAGCAAGGGGCACTGCTCATCATTTCAGGGCAGGGTCAGGTAGATGTGGAGCCTCTGCGGCCAGAGTGACCCAGGCTCCAAGTCATCCACGTGTTACAATTTTACCCTCATTCTTTCAACAGACGTTCACTGTGCAGCGGCCCGGGGCCGGCCTGGAGCTTCCCCGGCTGCAGAGGGGCCGGCCGGCTGGGGACTGTCCCCCCGGCACTCATCCTCCAGGGGTCTCTGACTTTTCGGCCAGCAGAGCTGGACCGGGGGCAGCTGTGCCTGTGGGTGGGGCAAGCTGGGCCTTGGCAGTTCTCTGGTCTTCCTCCCACGCTGCTCAGCTGTTCCTTCGTGTGAATACTGAATTCCTATTTTCAGAACAGCCATCTAAGCCTGCCGGGGTGCCCGCACGCCCCCATTCAGCTCTGTTCCTCGATGCTGAGGTTGGTTCATTAATTATTCACACCAGGAATCCCCCAATCAGCTGACACATGGCCCCCTTTCTCAAAAAGGGCTAAAGGAGAGAAAAACCCTACTGTGCTCTCTCACTGCAGTGTTACCCTCTGCTTGGTCACAGGGGGACTGCGTCCTGTGCTCCCACCCTTGTAATGAGAGCTAACACTCCCTGCGTGGGAGGCTCTAACGCTCCAGACAGATTCACGTCCAGTCCTCCCCGCAGCCCTGTGCAGCAGGCACCATTACGACGATCTCCTTTTACAGACGAGGAAACGGAGACACAGGGAGACACAAACAACTCAGCGCCCATCAGACAATTACTAAGGGGGATGCCAAGCAGGATGGCTACAGAGTTTTGCTCATAACCACCACCTGGGCTGCCTCTCCAGAGATGGGAGGCACAAGGGATGAAGCGATGTGGGTCTATGCGGAGGAGGCGGCCACGGGGGCCAGGCCCACAGCCAGGATCTGGGCACGACGGGGAGGATGTATGTGCCGGGAAGTACAGGACCATGTCAGGCTGAACCATCTTCTGAGTTGGTGATGACCTGCCAGCCCAGCCAGAAGCTGACCTGGGTCGGACGTGTCAGCTGTGAGTGGGAGGAGGAAGGGACGGGTTTCCAGGACAGCTGGGAGTTGCAATCTCGAGATTAGTGGTGTATCACATGCCGATGGGGCTGCCTGGCTACCTCCAGGTGTTCAGGTCATCCCCTTGGCTTCCGTGGGGCCAGGAGGACCAGCCCCATTTGATGGGGGCCTCTGGGGTCGCCCCGCAGGGGTAAGTCACAGTCACTGGCTGCTCACAAGGGCGCTTTGCAGCGAAAAGGAAATAAAACAGAGCTGAACCAGACGCACAGAAAATAAAGCAGCCCACTGGTGGGGGCCGAGGGCATGCTGATAAAGCCATTGTAAGCCATCCTTCACACCGCTACTCTGCTAGGCAATGTGAAGCCGTATATAGATGTGAAAGCAACCAGCCCCCAGTGAAGTTCAGGCCCCCCCTGGAGCCAGTGACCACACACTGCTCTGAGGGCGCTCAGTGTGCCTTGTGCTCTCAGAATAACTCTCCCACTGGCTCTTGTGTTGGCAGCGGAAAGACTCTTAACTTCGGGCAGATTCAGGGTGACCATGGCAGCTTGGGGACAGAATATTAGCTCGTGGACACTGGTACTTGGGTCATCTACTTCATGGGCTGGAGCAAGGCCTTGAGGAAAGGGACCGCAGGACAGGTGGTCTGGTACAGCATGTGGGGAGGGGCAGGACGGGGGGGCTCTGGGTGGGGAGGGAGGAGGTGGTAGGGGCATAAGGCCGTAAGTGTGAGCATGTGAGCAGAGAGGAGCCCCCCAAAAGGAGGCAAAGGAGCCAGCAAGGGTGACTTTGTTGAGCCTGACCCTTAGCTTTTCAAAATAGTTTTCTTTTTGTGTTACTGGTTTTTAATTCTTTTTGAGGCTAATCTGGAATCTTCCCTGTTTCGCATTTGAAAATTTCCAATTTTCCACCCGTGAACAAATACAGGACGAGGGCTGCTGACACCAAAAGGGCTGACACCCTGATGCCGAGGGCACAGTGCAGCCAATGGGATGTGTGAGAAATGTCCATTTCGAGAGAAACATTCCCAAGATTAGAACTGAATTCCTTCTGGCACCCCTCCTCCAGTGGAAGGGGGTTATCCATCTTTGGACGATCTCCTCACCAGCTGCAGTGTGCCCTCTGCAGTTTGGGGGTGCAGGGACGCAGGCTCCACGCAGGCAGGAGCTAGGCCAACCGTCCTCTCCAGCACATGCCCATGCCGGGCACAACTCCATGAATGATTAAATGACCTGCTGCTTTTTCATCCCAGTAACTGTTTGGGTTTCAACTCAAAGCAGGATGTATTTGAAGAAATACAAACAGTGAACCTCAACGAAGAGGCATGCGTGACTCAGGAGAGAAGATGGGGGTGTCCGCAGAGTGTGTCCAGAGTCAACGCTACACTTGCTAGATGAACACTTGATGAAAAATAATTGCGAAGCCACAGACGGATGCAAATGAGACCAAGTACATGAAGGAATGATCATTATCTTTATTCATACGCACTGGCTTCCAAACTACAATGAATGTATCTAACAAAGCATAGCATGCAAACAAAGATTAGAGGTTATACGAATTACAGCAATGCAGTAATTTATACATCCATTTCGCCTGCTAGAAACCAAATGTTATTTGACAGTTGAATGGCCTCTACGTTTTGTCGGTAGGTGCTTACACAGAAGGAAAAACTTCAACCTCCATCTCTTCCTCTTCCTCCTCCATACAAACTTGGGGTCTTACGTTTTTCAATGAATGACTTAAGCATGACATGTCCTTCTCCCCCCCACCCCCAAATCATGTAGCAAAAACAATGATTTCAAATGTTTCTGACCAGCTATAAAAAATATTCTGAAAAACCCTAAGAGAAGAGATGAGAAGTGAATTTTTAGACTCAAAAGAATAACAGCCTTCATGTACGATTTTGAATCTAATTCCCTCAAGAAAGGAATCACATTGTTCCAGGAAGAGTTTCAACAAAAATCTATAAACAATCACAGGAATAAATACCCAGAGGAGACAAAGACACAGTTGTTTAATCAGAAATGCAAAGCCACCGTTTTGTCTTATTTTAGAAAAAAAGGGTTCTTATAAAGTGGACTTGATACCTATTTTCTGAAAAGTAGGGTTCTGTGTACTCACATAAGGGGTGACCGTGCAACAGATGCCGGCGGGTGCACTTCCTGCCGCCTCTTCCTTCCTAGGGACATTGGAGCATTTTGGAATTACCCAGTGGGCAAAATCCTTACAGGGCATCACTGAACTTCCACTGAATATGAGATACCCGGGGACCCGAGGGGAGAGGAGACAGAGCTGAGGAAGCACCACCCCTCCATGCCAAAAGGGGGTTGCAGACCTCACAGGGCAAGAAAGGGGGTTCCAGGGGCCCCTGGGGAATGTTGTCCTGGAGCTGCACCTGGAAGGGGGACAATAAAGCCATCTTTCCTGTGGTCCCAAAGTTTCTAGACTTTAGACAGTTGTCCTCAGCATCTACTGAGAACACGAAGGACATCATTCTGCCAACACGTTCCACCTGAACTCCCAGTCACGGTGATGTGGACTTCATACCCTACTGGTACAGGAAAATCCTGCAGTGGGAGTGCAGGTCAGGGGTGCTCTAGCTGACTCCAGGTGAGTCCCCCTACAGGCTCCATGTGGTTGGAATCTTATGAAATTGTCAGTAGTTTTATTTTAAAAACTCATTTTTAAAGAAGAACCGAGTTATTAAAGTTCTCTATAAAAAAGTACAAATAGCCCAGTATATTCAGACGTTCTATTGGAATTCACAAATTAATTTCTTCCATAAGGTTTAAAAAGTCTTTGGAACTTGTGGGCCTTAGTGTAGGGTCACTGTAAGGCTATTTGATGACCGAGTTGGACCTGCACAGTTATCAGCTGACACCTGATCACACAGATCAGAGGCCCTGGGATCCTGATTATTCAGCTTTTAACCCTCCCGAAGAGACCCCGACTTGACAGAGTGAACAGCATTGTGGTTGACGCCATTTCTAGATGGCTGCCTACGTCCACGTATAACCCAATTTTCCCATTTTCCGTATCTTCCAACAGCAGAAACATCTAGCATCCCCTAGACGTGCTGTCTCAGCCTTATTGGGAAATGACAGAAATATTTACAGTCTGGTATATTTCATAAAAATGTAACCCAAGGAGCTCAAGGAAATGTTTAAAAAAATATCCCCAACACTCCTTGTCGAATTAGTGTGGAACCGGAGTGCCCCTTTCCGTCACTGGAACTGCCGTGCCCTCGCTGCTCCCGTAACCCTTAAAGTCATCACTGGTGGGTCCCTGCCGCAGCATCATGTTTCCCGACCACGGCTGTTCAGTGTGCTCAGTGGGGGAACTCCTGCCCTGGCTGGGCTTAAAGAAACAGGGAACCGTGTGGCAGGCACACACGAGAGACAGGTGCTTCGTAAGACCAAAGTGAGAAAATGACGGTCAGGTGGTGTCTCCTTTCTGAGGCTTTTAAAAGCATAAGACTCTCACTTTGCCCTCCTCTTCAGGGCTGAGAAAACAAACCCTAGTAAAAAAAAAAAAAACCTCAAAATTTCTCCTGCTAAGTGGACCCAGGGGGGAACTGGGGTGTTAAGCTGTTCCCGTGACGTCTCCGTTTCCATCCACCCTCAGCTGCTGTGATTCTCAGCAAAAAGCCACGGGGGCAAGTATGGGGGAACCTTCTTGCAGGACGGCCCAGAGAAATGAGAGCCACTTCAAAGGAGGGTGCGGAAAGGGGGCTTCTGGGAGCAGGTGAGGATGCTGTTGGCATTTGGGAGATGTTTTTTAAGGAGGAACAGACGTTGTCCCTGGCAACAAGCTCACTCTCAAGGACCAGCAGACAGTGCCTTTCATCTACACCGACAACTTCCGATGGAAAGCCACTGGAAACAGCAGCTTCCTTTCCAAACGCCCGCTCCCTCCTGGCCTCCTCCTACTGCAGGCGTCCTTCTGCAGTCAAACCCCCTCTTCTCGAAACTCATTACCGACCTCAGCCTCCAGCAACCTTCCTTCTCAGAACGTCAACAGGTGGTCCTTGGACGGCTGCACCCTCCTTCCAGCAAGTCACCATGCTCTGCTCAGGCCTGCGGCTCAGAGAGGGGCTCAACCACCATTTGCTGGCCTCTAATTTCCTACCAAAATCTCTAAGAAGAAAGCCTGACACATCTCTGGAGAAGAGACGGGCGGTGACTCTGCGTGAACATGTACCAGGTCATGGGGATAAAAGAGGAGTGGATGTGACCAACAGCAATCACTCCGGTTCCTGGGGTCTCCTACCAACCTTTTGAATTAGCTCCTGCCTCGCGTGAACTTCCCATTAACCTCTGAGGGCCACACCTGGCAGGACACTCCAGCTACTTCATTCAAACCAAGCCCCGGGTGGGTTTAGACAAGATGCCAAGAGAGGAGGGCAGCCAGCACGCTGCCTGCAGCCACAGAGGGAAGGCCCGCCCTCCAAGGGAAGCGAACACAGGGCAGTTTGAATGGCCTTTCAGAGTCACCATGTCTGATGGAGACCCGGATTGCGCTAGGTTATCCCAGGGGCCTGGACTTCCACCAGCCCTGCAGTGCTCAGTGGGTGGTACTTCCTAAGTGTCCCTCAGTGACTTGACCCTTCAAGGCATCATTCTTATTCCAACTCTTTAAAACGGCAGCTCCTTCCCTGTTTTATTTCACATGATGCTCAAGAAAGGGAACCATGCCTCCGAGTTTTATAAATCGATTCTGCTAACGGTTACTCGCATGATGGATTCTTTCAGCAGAACTGTCATGGGCTGCTCTGATTTTAAAGCATTAGCTTTTATCTAAATTCAGGACATAGCAACGTACCAAACACACTGCAGCACGTTAACACTGGCCCTGATTTTTACTGTTTTCCCTTCAACTTTGTCCTCAAGCCTGATGTCTCTCAGGCAAAGGGCTGGGCCCCACCCCTGACAGGGCATCATCTTTTAAAACTTTGCCACAAATTCGGAAAGGATAAAAACCAGCTGAGGTACTGAGCATGTTCCCGAGAGAAAGATGAATCAGTTGGAAGTGTACTGGCTGCTGTGTGAGTGAAACCCGGAGCCTGCTGCTGGCTTAAAGCAAGCAGGCAGCCCGGGGCTCGGGGATGGATGGTTCACGACCTTGTGAGCTCCTTTCTGGGACCTTCCTCACCTCCAGAGCTGGGCTGGGGACCCGTCCTGCTGTGGCTCTGTTCTGGGGCAGGGGGACAGGCTCTTTTGTTCCTTAGGCTCTTTCTAAACCCTTTTCTATCATACCCAATGCGGTTCATGTGGGGAGGAAGTGTCCCCGAATGGGCACGGCCCAGCAGGACTACAGCGCTGGATGTGCTCGGGCCCCTTTTGAGACCTGAAGGTTACGGCCCCTAAAAGATGGCAGAAGAAGTTGCTCTTTTCTGGTCTGACCCATTCCCTGCTCCATCTCTGCCTCCGATCCAGCGTTTCCAGCACAGAGGAGGCCTCTCAGCTCTAAGACCCCTCTGTGGCTGTGGGCGACCTGAAATCCAGGCAGAGAGCCAGAGAGTAAACATGAGAAGATGCTCTGCCGGGAGATACTTCGGGGGAAACAAGGGGAAACAGAACAGCCCCTGCAAGGACTGATAAGTGTGTCCACTGTGAATTTGCTCTAGGTGACTGGCTCTGTCGAGGACCTTGTTGGGATGGTGTTTCGTTACAGAAATGCTCCTCGCAAGGCCGGAATGGCTGGTTCTAGCAGCAGCTGGGAGAAAATCTGCAGCCTCCCAAGAGCGTGCATGGACAGCCCCCGGGGGCTGGCTGTGCCCAGGGGCTGCCAGGGGCCGACAGCGGCGCGCTCCGGGGCAGCCAGGCGGACCGCGTGCTTCTGCTGCGTCCACGCACCAGGGAGGGAAGCTGCCTGTCCCTCCTGCCCTGACTCACCAACAGCCACAAAGCTGAAAGGCAGAAACAAAACGGACAGAGTGCAGCCCAGGGGCCGTGACAACACGGTATCTACACAAACATACTAGGCACACTGGAGTCAAACGTTCCCCGCTGCCCCCGAGGAAGAGTGCTACGGGGGACCAGAAGAGAGGACGGCCTTAAGAAGCGAAGAGGGAGTCTCATCTCAAAAATAATCCCCTCAAGCAAAACTTCTGTCTGCAGATAGAATCAAATATTTATATATAGGTGTATGATTAAGCCTAATTGATCAGGTAAAGTAGCCATTCATTTTCGAAATGAGATCTACTGCAATAAAAAATTAATAGACCCGATCCAGCGCCAAGGCAGGGTACGTACGGAGTAGGGGCGGAGGGCGGGAGGAGGCACGGCAGCAAAGAAGGAAGCTAAAACTTAACCATAGAAGCAGATTAGAAACAAGAGCCTTCACAAATATAGCACAGTGGTGTCTTATAAAATTAGTATAATACTCTCTTTATACTTGATACGATTATATCAATAATATAGATTCCACTTGTTATTAAGGTTTATTATAAACATGCAAAATCCATTGCATGATGCATTTGCAAAACATATTAAAATCCTTCTAGCGATAAAACATCTTCGAAGTGATAACACATCCAGGTTTCCTGAGTCTACAGCTCCAGGGGTGTCATTCAACATGAACTGGAAATGGGGGACCAAAACTGTACCGCTGTCCATCCCTAAGAGGACATGGAGGGCTGGAGACGGGAGGGCAATCAATGCTAGGGACTGAGGCTAGAGTCAACACTTGGATGAACTTACTATACATCGTACTCTCATAAACGACACCACAGCCTGTTAAATAAATAAGTACAAAAGGGGGTGGGGCGTAGACACGTCGGCTTCTTAGGAAGCAGGTAGCAAAATACCGGTGTTGGGTTGGGGTGCAGGGGGGGAGGTTGGCTAACAACACTCGTGAGTAGTGGCATGATTGCTGATGGCACCCTGGGTCCAGAATAATCTCCCAGAGATTAAAATGAACATTACACACACACTGGTTTAGCCTTGATCTGAAATGATTTCACATGCTCCTTTAGCAAAGTCCTCAGAAGATTTGGCCTCTTAAAAAGAAATGCAAGTATCAAGACAGTTATCAGCCACGTCGGGTACAAGACGACTGATTCCCCCAAAACCCATCTGAGGTTTTCTTCCTCTCTTTTTTCTTTTTTTTTAAAACTGGTAACCGCTGGACCATGATTGGGTTACAGCTGTCAGTGTCTGGGAACAGCGAGCGCGCAAGTGCTTGCCAGGTGGATTCAGATTCATCCCGGCCTCTCGGATTCTAGGGACTGTATCCATCAAGGCAGAGAACAGAAGCAGAGGGTGTTTCGAAGCCTCCCCCGCCCCCCAGTCCCACCTTGCCCACTCCCTGGGCTCCCCGCTCTTTTCATTCCAAAGATGTCTTGGGTGGAGATGCTTCCAGCTCCCTGGACTGGGGTGGATTCATTTTAGCATCTCTGGTCGGGGAATCTGGATGGTGAATATCAGCAGAGGATGTGGGGAACATATCAAATTGTACCAAAGAGGGGGGGCAAGAGCCCATCTGCTTTCCAGGAAGGGTTACCCTACAGCCAGATGTGACCTCTACATGATTAAACTGGACACTGGACATGAGATCACCTTCCGTTGAGATAATGTTTTCAGTTGTGAGAGAAAGAGACTCTCAACAGCTGATCACATCTGGACTAACAACCCTACAATTTTCAGGCCTCCATCTGGAACAAAAACAAAGCTGTGGCCTTAAAATTTTAGGGTTGGGGATCATTGCCCACGGCTGGGGCCGGGGCCGGGGGCTGGGGAGGCGTTTGCTCTCGGCAGTTGCGTTTCATACTGCGCTCTGGAGGATGGGGTGCACAAACTGGGGGTTGACATACGAGAACCCTTCGAAATCAGACTGGTCTATGTTAGCGATAACCAGCTGATCAGGCGGTGTTAAGACAGGCTGCCCTCGCGTGAAGAACTTGTCAAAGTTTTCTGCTCCTTTGCCGCACTGTGGAGAGAGAGCAAGAAGGAGGAGAGGTCAGTAAGGGAAGCCAGGCGGCCGCTCCCCGGGAGCTCTCTGCAGGGAGGGGCGCGGCCCCGGGGGGGCGGGAGTCGGGGCTGGTTAGGCGGGAAGAAGTCTGGAGGACCTGCAGGCTGACCGGATTCGAAAGCCAGGCACAGCAAGCAGTAACCGAGAGTCACGCGGCTGTAAATCGTCAAACACCCCTGGAACTGAAACCCTAGGTGCGCAGGCAGTGCCGGGAAGGCAGCAGCAAGGAGACAGCCTCTTGCCTTTTGCCTCCACCTCACAGAGCCATGAGCTGGGTGTCCCACGCACAGGGCCATCGGTCACGCTTCTACATCAAAAGGCTGGGATGTTGGTGGGAATAGGGGCTGTTACCCCCGAACCGAGAGGCTGAGAACACTGTCTCACGCACGTCGGGTCCTTCGCAACCATGTTTGTAATAAAGAAAAGCCGTGTTATTCTTGTCTTCCAACTGGGAGGTTCTAAAAACCTCAGCCCCTAAACTAATCTTCAGCCGGCACAGGGTAGGTGCAATGGTAAGCCTGGGCTGTCTGTTCTCAAGCTCAGCCGGAACTCGGCGGATCGGGGTTCATCTGGTCGACTAAGAGACAGGTGACCACGGAGCTCATTTGTTGGTGGTTTTTGCTGGAGGTCTGCACCGGTGCCCTGAGCGGGCAGCGTCTGCCGCCTGTCTCAGATATTCCTCTCCTCCTGGGTCCACCAGGGTGCTAAATGCAGGTGGGGCTGCAGGCAGAGCTGCCCTGGTGGGGCTGCGGGGTCCGAGAAACACAGCAGCTGAAGCGGCACTGCTTGAGAACCCCACCCCAAACAAGAGTAAAGGTGTCTGCTCACTTTCCCAGCCACCCAGAAGGGTGTGGCATGCTGGAGTCCCAGGGTCCCAGGGTGGCTGAGACAGAGGGTGCTGGGAGGGGACCCAGTGATACGAATCACAACTTCCCACACATTGCAAAGGACTGACTTCCCTCCCTCTCCCCTGGTACTGCAGGGCAACATGAATTGATTCTGAGTTAGCAGAAGTCTTCCACTAGCCAGGCATTCCTGCATCTTCGACAGAGGTTAGCTCGAGGTAAACTGTGAAGTGGGGTCCGCCCCGTTTTACCTGCAAAATGGGGGGCATGGTCGTGCCTCCCTCTCTGGACTGCTACGAAGGTTGCACGTACGGTGTTTTGTGTTTCGCACGGAACCCAGCACGTGGGGAGAGCATAGTACCTCCTGGGGTTACTGGGCGATGCCAGCTGAGTCTCACAGCTCACCTCCTCTGCCACGTCTCTGCCCCATCTTCTAGAAGGTTTCCTTGAGAATCCAGCTTCATTATACTCTCCCCATCCTCTCATCATTAAATAAAACCTGCTCCTAAGTCCCTGCCTCGGAGGAAAGCATGTCACGATTTCCAGGTGAGGTCTTCATACCAATAGCTTCCCTTCCTGCGGTGGTTTTCATTTTCGTAAGCCACCACCTGCTTCTTAACTGGAGGAGAGTTCAGACCGGTGACTGTTGGGTGGGGATGTGCAGAATGAGAGGGGCAGGGGGATGGTTTTCGGCCCCTCCAGTCACTCTGTAGAGGCCCTACTATCAGCCCTGCTCATCACGCAGGTCCTGCCTCCCGCACAGGGGACGGTAGGCCTTTCGCTTCACGCTCCACGTTTCCAGGGCGCTCTCCTTGGATGAGCACAAAGCGCCTTCGAAGCAAAGGTACAGCGGAAGCCGAGCCTGCAGCCTCTCACATGCACAGGCCATTCCGAACTATTCAGAAGGCTGTTCAAGGGAGAGAGAGGGGCGTGATGTTTCTTCCCATGAATTCATCAGGGGTCTGCACTGGATTTGTCAGTAAAACCAGCCAACCAACAGCAACCAACTTCCACAGAGCACCACATTCAGACGCGGCTGCTAAGATGATAAAAGCCAGGGACGCTGCTTCACATCACCCCCCACAACAAAGAATTGTTGGCCCAGAGGTCAACAGGGCTGTTGAGAACCCTGAGATACACCAAGAGGGCGACATGAGGCTGAGTGGGTCCCAACGTCAGTGCGAGGACAGATGTGACAGCCAAACTCGGAAACTAGCCATACTTGAGACCAGAGAAGGGAGAAAGTGCAGAAGTTACAGGCAAAAGTGTCGTAAGCAAGTATGACAGCCTTGGTGGAGTTGGCTTTGAGTAGAACATCGTTTGGGAGCCTGATTATTCAACACCCATTGCCCGGAAGACTTCACGTGAATCTACTGGAGGTGCTCCCCGTGGCTGGGACATGTGCTCCCTTAAAAAGGGATCACTTGCATTGCTTTATTGATTCCTGGCCTTCACTAACTATGCAAAGATGAGCAAGAAGGAATTTATCAGAAACAAATAAAAGGGGAAGTCTCGAAGAGGAAGAGGACGGTACGGTATGATCTCTCTCCACTAGCTGGAGATCTGTTCGTGTAGCTCTGGGTTTGTCCATCTGTTCCATGAAAAGACTGCACAGGTCTTTGTGCAATCATAAGGGTCAAAGGAAAGACTGACCCTTTCCTCTGAGGACCACCTTCAGTGTACTCACAAATCAGCTTCCAAGGGGAATTTCTAAAAGCCATGGCTTCACTGCCGAAGAAAAATAAAAGACAAAGTAAAAGAAGAGATCCTAGGATCTTAAAGGGGGACCACATAGACATCGACACCGAGAAATCTGGTGATGGGGATGACACTTGAGGACATGAAATTCTAAGGCTGGTGTCCAGAGGAGAGTTGCTCCCAAGGGCCACTGTAGCTTGTAAAGCCAAGTTTTGTGACACGTGGGGCAGAAACCCTCACTGTGTCAGGCTTCGTGCCGTGACCGTGCAGCTGGCTGGAGCTCAAGGGGGGCCGCGGAGACCAAGGCAATCCCAGCATGGCTCCGTGACCGCCCTGCACGGGAACGCGACCGGTGGTCTGGAAACGGCACCGCCGCAAACCCCCTCCCCTTCTTTCTCACTCTCGACCACTTTGGAATTTCCCCTGATCCCAAAGAGAGAGAGAAATCACGTTTTAGCCAATGAAAATCTCTGTTAAACCTGCTCACTTAGGTGGAGAGGAACTGAGGTGGGGACAGGCTTAGCGCAAGCAGAGAGCAAAAACTCGGTGTCCGTGAGTGGATGTCAGAAACCAAGGGGGAGAGCCGCCCCCACCCACGTAGCCTGAGGATCAGCTGGGATCCAAGGACTTTTTACGCTGAGAGAGATCACACCAGAAACAAGATGCTCCCCCCAACCCCAGCGGGAGAGGCGTGGGAGAAGCATGGCTATTTTTACCGCAGGTTCAGCTGGATGAGAAATAGCGCTTGTTTTTCCACCACAGAGGGTAGCAATGAGCCCTCCACAACCCCTACTGAAATCAGGCCAGAAATAGACAATCTCCTTTAAGCCAAGTTGGAGACCCTGAATTACTTGTTTTTCGAGATATCTGTGCAAAGAGCTGCAACTGTTCTTGTACTGCCACCACCACCTACTGAACGGGATAATGAAAACCAGTGCTCCTTGGATCCTTGGGGGCATCAACAAGCTATCGTCTTCTGAAGGCAGAGAAGATTCTTCCGACCACCTGGGAGCCAGCCTAACACAAGGCCATCCGCTTGGTGGGCAATGGGCCTCAGGCGTCACCTCGAATCTGAGAGGGAGCAACAAGAGGGACTAAAAGGTTTAGGGGGGATGGTCTAGTGGAACCTGTGGATGCAAGTGACCGGGTGGTGGTGCCAGCGAAAAAAGAAGCTGGCCTGATTGCAGACATTCTCCTGGTGCCCCTCGGGGATGAGCGGGAGGGTGATCATCGCGGGAAGCGCAGCGTCCTCTGCAGTCTGTGACCGCAGGCAGGTTGGGTGGTTCGCGGCCTCAGAGCTCCAGGCCCCCTGACAACCCCCAGCAGCCAAGGACACACTCGCTACTTGTGAGCAAAGCCTCATGGCTGGGTGTGCACTGTCTTCAGCTCCAAAGACCACCCTCACCTTTCACCAACTGACGCTTTTGCCCCCCGGAAGGCGAGGCCTGACACAGCAGGTGGGGGACAAAGATGTAGGGGAGGAGGGCGGGAGGAGGCAGCCCAGATCCGGCTGGGCCAGCACATGAGCCCGGGAAGCTCCTCTGATGCTCCCTGAGACCAGATGACGTCTGTGTTAGTGCCGTGTGCGACACCCAAGGGAAAACGGGATGAGGCGAATCACCTACCAGAGGCCAAGAGCCCAGGGAACGGCTTAGGGCAACACACTGCGCCCCTTTGTGAAGATAAAACGGGGATGTGAATGTCCACCTTCCGTGGCGCCGTGAGGGCCGAAGGAACGGTGTGGGTGCGACCCTTTCTGAACGATCAGGTGCGATCCAGACCTAAGATGCAACATGAGCGGCAAGTGCCTGGCATGTAAAAAGGCACGCGATTAATATGTGAGAGATGAACGAGCTAATAATGACCTCCCTGCCTTAGCTCTGAGTTCAGGGCTTAACTCTTTTGTTCTCTGGATGTTCCTACCCATTTGGTAAATTCACCAGTTAGCAAAATGAATCCAGGGGAAATCAGCCCAGGAAGAGATGGGCCCCAGGTGGAAACTGAGATTTCAACGCTCCCCGATCCAGAGCCCCGTGTGGCAAACGGGCCACTCTCAGGCCTTTGCGTTCTGCACGAAGAGCTGCGGGGAAGAGAGTGAGCCAGCCCCGCGGACGCCGGCCTCTCAGCTGTGATTCTCACCTGTGAGAGGTAAGGTACAAGTGCTGGTCACAGTCGTGTCCTTTACACCTTGCTGTCTCAGTGATGCAGAAATTAACCCCACGGTCACTGGCGTGGGAATCACAGGGAGTGTGAGCAGCTCGAAAACACTGCCATTTCCAAGCAAAACACCAAACCAAACTCGGGAGGGCAGGAAGAAGGCAGAGCAAAGCCAGAGGAAAGGTGAGTCGCCAAACTAAGGGGAAAGGAAACTTATCAGGGTGCGGAACGCCTCTGGGGATTACCAGATGCAGCAGGGATTAGGGGAACCTTTACCCGAGTTCCGTGTCCCGGCTTGGGGAACTGGCCACAGCCCTGCGCCGCGGTCTTGGCCGGGGGTGTAGTAAGAACACCGCCTGTGTCTGTGTGTGGCTCCCTGATTTGCGGTCCTGCGCTGTCTTCCTTTGACTAAATACTCAGCGACATAAATGAGCATTCTGCTCTGAGCCTCCCGGGAAGTCTTGTCCACACTATAGAACCGTCCAGCGAGGGGGCTGGGCCCCTGGGTGGCAGCCGGGCTCTGCCCTTTCTAAGAAGATCAGCATGCTCTGGGTGGGAGGAGGGAGGGGGGCCTTCCGTGCATGACCAACGCAAGCAGGAGCACACGCTGAGGGTTAAAAGTGAGGTTAGTTTGCTCATCAAGTCACCCAAGATTCTGCAAATGTGCTCACCGAAGGCCTGGATGCCCACTGAAGCCAGTGCATTTTGGTACAGAAAGTCTGGAGAATAAGAACGGACAGAGGAGAGCATTTGGAAAACAAGTCAGTGCCTGGCCTGGGAACAAAAGGAAAGGAGCGGCCCGTGCAAAGGATGCTGCACACCCACGTGAGCCGGCGTGGCGACGCCTCCGGGGTGGACTGTTGCGTGAAGGATGCAAGGTGTGCAAAACAGAGCGCGTGGTACCACCTCATCCGTGTGTGTTTGCCCACATGGACAACTTTCTAGACAGTTACAGAAATGATGGTGAGCAGTTGGAGCGGCCACTGGGGAGGGGGAGGGACCGTTTTCTCATTTTATGTCCTTCCCTACTGCGTAACTGTCTGTTCAGCACACAGAGGTTGTATTTAATAACTGTTCAGAAAGGGACTGGGACCCCTTTCACCTCCTGCCAGCGTTACCTGGGATGAGAGACTGGAAACAGGCTGTGGTTTCTTAGGCAAAATGAGACAAGACTCATCTCACCTGCCACCTTCGAGCACATCTCCGAAAAGGCCCATTCTGGTCTGGAGGGAGCTGGTTTCATGGATGCGTTTGCCGACAGACACACGGTTAAATGAGCGGGTTCTTGCAGGTGTGATAGCCCCGTGTGTTTGAGGGCAGAGGCTCTGCCTTGTGGTGGCCTGTGTTCTCTGAAATAAAAGCACGCATCCCACTTGTTCTTTCCTTATGCTAATGAAGGGCTTTAGGGCGTTCAAGGCTCCTTCTCCAGGAACAGCTGTGGTAATGCCCAGCCCTGGGGGAGACCTTCGCTTCAGACCACGGGACTTGTCAGTTCACACAGGGTCTGCCTTACCCTGTCACCCTCCGCGGCAGCTCGCTGGGCCGTGCGAGAGAGCTGCTTGTTTACATGGATGGTTATTATAGAAGTCTCATTCCTTCCTGTTTTTCCTTCCAGCAGAAAAGCATTTGGGAGAGTGATTACCAAGGAATGGGAAGGCTTCTTGCATCTAATTAACCAAGTCGAAGATGCTGTCTTCGACTGGTTTCGAGGCTTAAATCAAGCCAAATTACATCACAAGATGGCAGACTGAAGTCTCCCAAGGCTGGTTAGTGTTTGTATGTTGTCGGCGAAGTTCCCTGAGTCTTGAGAATCTTGATTTTAATTAGCATCACTGCCGCGGGTTCCACGGAAAGGCCAAGAGAATGAACCTACCTGCTAACCTGGAAGAAGTGATTAGATGCTGCCCGAGGCCGCCCACGGACGGCACTGATCACTTGCACAACCACCCTGCGGCCTCCCCTCCCTTCACCTGGGTAGCCGCTGCTCCGTATAAATAACTTTTCGGAGCCATTGTTAAAAGAACATAGGACTATGAGATGTCCTTAGTTCTAGGAGACACACACGGAATTACTTAGGTGTAAGGAGGCATTCTTTAGGTGTCAGTCTGCAGGTTACTCTCAAATGGTTCCAAGAAGAAATTGCGCGTATGTCTGTACCCACACGCCCTCATCAGAGGTGCCGGGGAAGAATGACACAGCAAACGTGGTGAAATGTTAACATCTGGGGACTCTGGGGAAAGGGGACGCAGCAGCTCTTTACACTGTCTTTGTAACTCTTCTGCAAGTCTGAAATCAACCATTATTTCAAAATAGATTTTAAAAAAAAAGTTAAAAAGGAACACTGCACTGACTTTGATCATCAAGCCATCATCAAAGTCTCTAAACAAACTAATGATCCTGTGAAATTAAGGACCTCGAGGCGATCAGGAAAATGAACTTTGCGCATCTCAGCAGAGAGGCACCAGCGCTGGGCTCTCCAAGTGCCTGTCTCCTTAGGCTCTTGCTCCAAGGATGACAACGATCCGATGAAAGTTCTTTTCTTCTTCTTTTTCTGTCTCTTTTTGATAAAATGACGACAGCAACTTCCCAGGAGGGCTACCTGTGAGAGGCAGGCCTATTTCCAAAGTGCTCTGCTCATCCATCAATTCTGGGTATCATTTCTTGGTGTAGATTAATTCCTCTCTCTCTCGAAACTATTTAAGTACAGTGAATGGTTTTGGCCGGCCTATGAACTGGCTGGTCTGCTCCTTGGTGCCAACGGATAAATTTAAAAAAAAAAAAAAGAGCCATCAATGAAGCCTCCACTTCCAACATCTGTATAAACTCTTACTTATCGTGGACGGGCCGAAGGCTGTTGCTGGACGTTCTATTCCCGTGAACAGTAAATCAGAATAAAAGAATAAAAGAATAAAACTTTGAGTTTTGTAAAACTCAAAGTGACATTGGATCCGAATCTCAGGCTCACGTGTGCCTCTGGGGGCAGCCTGCAGGGACCCAAAACCCGGGCCTTTTATATTTTTAAGGCAAAACAGAAAGAAAGAGCTTTCCATCTTCAGGGAGTTCTCAGGACGCTGGGATGGACACAGGCTGGCGGCATCCTTCTTTTATGTGACATCCTTGTTGCAGGATGCCACGGGAGGTGGCCCCGACCCTCTCATTTCTCACTCAGTAACTGAACGTTAACACTTTCGAGGACAATATCCTTTTTAAACTTGAAAAAAAAAGGATCCTTCCTCCATGGGATCTTCTGGACACGAAGGAGCCTCTTTCTGTTGACTTCAGTTTGTCGTTCAGAACATCAGCCAAGTGCTAAGAAGGGTCTTGCTTTGCTGTGTTTTCTTGAAGAGAAAACTGAAACCAGCTTGCTGTGTGCTTGTTTTCTTGTTTCTGTTTTCTTCCCCACAAAGGAGGAAAGGAAGTTAGCTACGTGGCTCCCTCCTCTCCAGGAGAGAGAGAATCACAACACAGCTGTCTGTTTTTGCTTTGGCTTTTGTTTTTCAAGATAAACCGGTACACACAAGGGATGGCCCTGCTGTTTAGAAAATCATCTTCACCTTCACATGGGGACGCGGGTTCTCCCACTGTGGGTGGCCCCAGGGCAGGCTCCTCCCTCTCGACTCCCACTTCTGTGCCTGCGATGCGAGCAGGTGCACCTCTGAGCCTCTAGACCTGCACCCGACCGAGGGGGAAATGGCCACAGTCCCACCTGACCCTGGTCACCCTCCGCTCTCCACCCTCCTTTATGTGTGACCTTAAACAGAACCCAGGCCATGGCTGCATGGCAGATGTCGCTGTGAAATGGAATGGTCTGCGCGGAGCCTCCTTGTTCATCAGGTACATCGTGAAATGCACCTGGGCGGCAGAATTCCGCACTCTCTAGGCAGTTGGGTGTAGCTTCAGTGATGTCACTTTGGTAGGCAGGAAAATGAAAAAATCCAGGACACTATGGAAACCTCAGTCCGTCCAGACAAACTCTGCCCAGGGAGCGAATGCCTCTACTCTCAGAGACAAGTCAGTGATTTCGGAATAATCTTTCACTAAAGGGTCAAAAAAAAATAAATCAAAAGTAAAACAATGAGACTCCCAAGCTTACAAGCACAAACTTGATCTCCAGACGCACCCTGCAGATAACCGTGGGCACCTGAAGTCTTATGGCCGGTATTGACAATAACCAAGGCCTTGATTTCACGGGAGCCAGGAGCTCACTGTCCTTAATCCGATAAATCTCAGGGAAGATGATTCTCCAGCATTTGCTATGAAAGCATGGAGCAGGCTTCACCAAGACAGCCAAGTGTAGCCAGCCGGAGCTATAAACTTGTAGAGCAGAGGAGAGCTGCTCTCTGAAGTGGGTTCAGCGCGCACGTTAAGCGAGGGCCTCTGGCAGAAATCGATCTGCCTGGCTGTCTGCCTGCAGCGACAGCCAGGCTGCTGCCTCTCTCTCGAAACACCACAACTGCCTGTCGGAGAACACTCAGCTCTGGACCTTCGCTAGAAACGCTTCTGAATTTTTAATTAGCTCTGGAGGAGGGAACTACACTTTTTTATTGAGGAAGTTGGGAAACCACATCACAGGATAACTCAGAGGCAACTGGGTCTCTTCTGCTGCGGTCCTGCTAAACCCGGCAAGCTGGGCAACCTCGATGGCGAGCTGACTCAGCGTTGTCTTCTTCCGGGGCGAATGGCCTCTGCTGCCCCTCGGACTGCTCCCGGCACGTGGTGTTTCCGCCTCGGCCTGGCACACGTCCTCAGAGTCTGCTGAAATGCCCCGTTCACCCGAGATTAAGGGCCACGCTCTGCTGCCACCAGGCAGGGATGAGCTCTCCAGGGACTCCAGGGACCAGAACTTTCCCACGCTACCCCCTCGCCCTTGACTGGCTCCTGCTTTGGGACAAGATGTCTGCCGCTCACTCCTGCAGTCGCTGGCTCCCAGCCTCCACCATTGTTTCTGCCTCCCTCTGGTCCTTTTGCATTTTTTTTTTCCCCTAGCTTCTTCCTTTTCCGTGTACAGATTCTCCAGCGCAACGTGGGCAACTCACTGTGAGCGGAAGCGGTCTCTCCCACCAGAGCTCTCGCCAAACAGGCCTTTAACCTGAAACCTTCGGTTTTAGGGCCTCTTCCCATGATTTCTGCTTCTGTGTGTTTCTGGGGGGACTGTTTCTTCACGGCCAGAGGCAATTTATTCTTTATTTAAACCAGCACTCAGTTGGAAAATGAGCAGCAGCAGCCCTCCAGGAGTAGGCAAACACACACGGCTCCCGGCTCGACTGCCTGCCACGGGGTGTGACTGCGTGTCCAGGGACTCCTGTGGCCCACAGCTGCCGGTGCCAAGCCACCTTCCCGTTTCCCCTCCACCTGAGGTCAGGGCCACAGTATCCACAGCGCGTGGGAGGTGATGCAAAGAAATCATCTCTTCTGCAAATGCAGTGGGAATAAATGGAAGAAGACGTATATCATAGCTGACTCTGCATCATGTCATTTCTTTCCAGAAAGTGATGGACAAGTCGCTGTGTTTTGCTCAACACGTAAAGCAGGGTCAGTGGGGGTCCCTACAAGGCTCCCGTGGAGAAGCTAAGCCGCCTGTAAGATGCTGTTGTGTACCTTCCATGTTTAATTTGAGAAGGCTAAATAGATATGAAAGGGAAGAAGGAACAATCCCAACAGAATGTGCTACTGAGGCGGTTTGCAGCATCATTCATCACTGTCTTCATCTTCCACCCCGTTAAAACCAGCTTTTGCAAACTGGAGGGCTGGGATCCTAGGAGGGCCTCCTGCCATCAGCGTCCAGGCCTGGCTGCAGAGGGGAAGGGGTGGCCGATACACAAGGGCCTTCCTTGAAGTGATGATTCAGGAGGAAGTCAACTGACCTGATTCATTTCAGTTTTTCTTCAGTTGATGCTAAAAATATCTCGGAAAAATAAAATTCGTGGGCTTGCCACCAGCAGTTTTATTCTTGGAGGAGAGGATACATAAGCAGATTTGACGAGGAAGTTGCTGCTCTAAGAATAAAGCTGTGTGCCACCCACTCGGGAACTCAGCACCCCGGGAGGGTCCCCTTTGCTGGCTCATGGGCACCTGTCAGAGGAGACAGATTTGGGCCAAACCCCAAAACCAGGGATGCTTCTAAAGCTGACTGTGGAATAAAGGTGCTCTCTGTGCAGTCCCAGGAGACCACCCAATACTGGCCAAGACGATGGCAGAGCTGGAAGGCACGGATGCACTCGGCTCTTAGAAACGGGATGCAGGGAAAAGCAGCCTCCTTGGGAAGCACTCACTGCAAGTGGCAGGCGGCGTGAGTGAGGGGGCTGGTGTCTTAAAGACTCTCAGTTTATCTCCAGAGATATAAATGTTAAGACGAAACCTTGGTGCAGTGGCGAAAGGATACCAGGGCCGAAACACTGGAGTTTGCAGCCAGGTTCCACCACCTACTAGCTGTGTGTCCTCAAGCAAGTTGCTCAGCCTCTCTGTGCCTCACTTTTCTTAATTGTAAATTGGGGACAACAGTAGCCACCTCCCAGGGTTGTTGTGAGGGTTAAATGAAATAATTTGTAAAGCACTGAGATCAGGGCCTGGTGCACAGTGTTTGCAAATAAACAAACAAAAACAGGGGCGATTTTCTAGGAAGTCATATAGGAAGAATCTGAATGAAGGTGGCAACGCCAGGGACAGTGGCTGACATGCAGGTAGTCCTTGCAGCAGGGATGGTGGCCAGTGTGGGAACTGAGCCCAGGGCCCGCTGGTGGGCTGGCTGAGACTGAGTTATGCTGCCATCCATGTGAGGCAAAGCCAGGGTAATTGAAGACAAAGGACAGGCCCTGTCAAGGACTCAGGGCAAGGAACGCAGCTCTGCAGGGCGTGCGAGGCCACGACGTCCAATCCCCAAAGCAGGCCTGCCCTGGTTCTCTCATCGTGCTGGGGGCGCTCGGTAGCCCTACTGGACGGCATGGTGGCCACAGGCCCCCCTTACTTTCAAAGTCAGCAGGAGTCCTGCTGCTCAGACCACAGGAGCAAGGCTGGTACCTGGCCGTTCTTTTCAGCCTGCAGAAGCCAGGGGTCTCCAGCCTCCTCTCTCCAGAAAAAAGGGTAGGTGGGACCCCATACCCCGAGATTTGGGGAAACCAGGCTCAGGCAACAGGCCGCATCCCTGACTCACCACTTTGGGCTTAAATGGCGGCTGGATCTCCCTGTTCTCTAGCTTCTCCCAGTCGATCCTCCGGAAGAAGGCGTGTTCCCGGACGTCCCTCTCTCCCTCCGGCCCACAGCCCAGCCGCTTGCCGGGGTGCTTGGTCATCAGCTAGAAAGGAGGAGAAAGAGGATCTCATGGGTAATGTGGTGACCAGAGTTGACAATACTGTATTGTATAACTGAAATTTGCTGAGACTAGAACTTAAGCGTTCTCACCAAAAAAAAAAAAAAAAAAAAAAAGGTGATGTGAGGTAGATGTATTAACTCCATTGTGGGAATCCTTTCACAATGTATACGTGTATGACTTGATACGTATATCAAATCATCATGCTGTATAAATATATTACCATTTTATTTGTCAATTACACCTCAATAAAGCTGGGGGGATAAAAGAAAGGAAAACAAAGGATCCACCGAAAAAAAAAAAAAGAAAAAAAAAGAGGAAAATGGAATGCCAGATGATAATGCTTTCCCTCTTGTCCTTTGCCACCAGCCCCAACAGCCACCAGCCCCAAAAGGGACGCCTGGGCAGCGTCGCAGGATGCCTAGCAAGAAACTCAGTGGCTCCCACCGAGGGATGCCAACTCACAAACACAAGAAGTGCGGGCCTTTCTATAGTGATTTTCCTGTTGTGAAAATGGGGAAGCAATCTGGACCCACAGCCAAACACAAGAAGAATTTAAATAGCTATCTTTAAACACTGTTTCAGAGCTAATGCCATTCTGTATGTATATTATACGATGTATATAAAAAGGCACACAATCACTAAAAACTGTGTGTGCTGCAAGGATCACAGGCCAGCATCACGTAGGAGGCTTTGTAACAAGCATCGGATGCCTACTCACCGCCTGGACTCGATCAAAGATTCATGGTTTGGAAAAGTAGACGCTGTCACAACACAGGTGACGAGTTAATTTCAAACCCAGTGGTGTGGGTAGGTGGTGCCTCCGCCATCTCTCTTAGAAGCGTGGGGAAGCCATCTCCCCTGTTGACCCCCTCGGTCCATTATTATAAAAGGAAGCCAGATCTACTCACGCCTTTGCAGATGGAGACAGCCTCCTTGGACAAGGACTTTGGATACGAAACGTTGTGCTCCATGATGGACTGAAACAGCTCATCCTCATCTTCGCCATCAAATGGGGGCTGTTCCCGGAAAAGAGAGGGATGGGGATGGGAAGATATCTAGGCTGAGTCATCATTCATTACCACGGCCCCCGAAGATCCAATTCAGTGTGGAGAAACAGAGCGGGGGTTCTCTGCACGCCACGGGCTGCAGGTTAGCTCCGTGAATCTCTGGTTAGGTTGGCGGCTGTGTGTGTTTTTCATTTTTTCCCTCTGTCCCTTTAATTATCATGCCTGGGGCAATCCAAACCAATCTTGAGGGAAAATGTTTTTGAGTAATGCTTTTTAATGATTTGCAAATAAATTATAATCAGTCCAAGACTCTTGTAATTATGTGTTAAAGAAATCTAATTACGATCAAGTGAGGTTACGGAGGGCCCTGGGTTCAGAAGGTGGGGGAGGGTGGAGAGTGCTAATGCCTTTGGATTCTCTAGGAGGTGGTGAAGAGGACTTGCCCTGCCCCAGGTCTAGGAATTCACACCAGGGCCCTTGTGATGCAATGGGGAGCTGCTCTATAGGGGGCCTGACGCCTGCACAGAGGCAATGAAGAGAGCTTAGCTTCCACTGGACACCTCTGTCCGCTTCTACTGGGTTATGATGCCCACATGGAGAGCGAGAGGCATGGTGCCACGATGGGAGGTCATGGCTTTAAAGTCAAGTGGATCTGGACCAGAATTCAAGCTTTACCACCTCCTAGTTGGGTGGCCACAGGCAAGTGACTCTTTAAGACACAGTTTTCCCATTTGTAAAATGGGACTCCCTGGTGAATCTGAGCCTGATATTTCGTCTTATGCCCAGTAAGTGCCCAGTGAAGGGTGCTTAGAGGTCCTGGTCAGAAGGCAGATGAACTGCCTTGGTGGGGGCGGGGGTGGGCTATCAGGGTCTTCAGGAGGAAGAGGTGGGCTCAGGATGCTTTCTAAGCTTTATCCCCCAGCACGTCTTTAATCCCAGAGGTCTAGCAAATTACCTGTCACCTTGGTGGGATGGCACACAGCAGAAGTGGGTTTATGGGAAATGTCTTAACATTCCTCTTTGGCTCGGCTAACCTTGAGCTGAGCGTGAGACATGCAGACCCGGGGCTCAGCCCTGTATAGAGATTCCCCCTAAGTTTAATCTTGTTAGATTTTCCTTCCATTGGAAAAGAGGACTCAGTCACTTTGGCTGACATGGTTAGGGCTCAGATAATGCCAGTGCCTGGCTTAATTTTAAATGACATCATGGACCAAAGACAACATCCAGCATTTCGCCCTGAGTAAGAGAGAGCAGCCGAACCAAGCAGAACCCTCCCTACAAGCACTCAAGGTCTTTCCAACCCGTTCATCTGACCTCCAGCCTTCTTCCTCCCTCCCAACCCCAGCCCTGGATAGGAGCTGGGAGTGGAATCAGCACACAGGAGCCACACCCACCCGAGGGAAGGAGGCTGGGTCCATAAAGAACTCTACCTGGGGACCAGGTATGGGAGACCGGGGCTGGCGCCTCTTACTTTCTATTTATTTTTGTCTAGGCATATAAATAAACAGGTCTCTTTTCCAGTTGTAAGTGCCTGGTGTAAAGAATGTTTAATTTGGTCAAAGTACTCAGGTGGCTGACATCTAAAAGTGGCTGGGGTGTGAATGACTCAGACCAGAGTCGAAGACCAGGTAAGCTTCCCTGGGCAGAAGAAACAGGGCGCCTGGGGCGCCCACAAGGCAAGCCAGTGCGGGGCAGACACCCCACTGGGGAGCGCAGGCTGTGTCACTGGCGGGATGTGTCACTCCCACGGACAGAGCGCAGAGCAGGACAGGCAGGGGTGGGGGGTGGGGCTGTACCCCGCCAAGAACTACAGCAGACGCCAGTCCCACTGTCCATCCTGCCACATCTTCTCTGCCTGGTAGCATCCACCTACTTCTTCTGAACACCTGTTATGTGACTCCCGAAAAACAGGCAGTTATTTTCCAGTTACACTGTATAATTTGGAGTTTCTTGCTTTTCACGGACTGTTGCCAACACATTTTCTCTGTAGCTATCAGTGTTCCCAGTCAGGTTAACGCCGTCACCAGAGACTGACTCATGTGTCCATGGGCACATGTCTAACTGCTTCCAGCACTGTGTTCTCATAACGAATGCTGCTATAAACACCTCTGCACGTATCATTTTTGTTTTCTTCTCCGAATTAGTTCCTAGGACTAATTTCCCAGGTGTGGGCTTATGCAACCAAAGAATGTGAACATTTTTACGGCTCTTGTTAAATCTCTCCAGGTCACCCCTGGAGCATTCTGACAGGTAATCGCTTGCTCTCAGGCCCTGGTGTTGAAGGCAGGTCAATGGTGAAGTGTGACCATTACATTCACTTCCAGCTCCTGAGCCTGGGGACCACAGGGGGTGATGTAGGATGGAGGTCTTCAGTACAGGACCATTTCGGATTGCCTCCCTTCCCCACCCCCCAGTCCCTATGATTCGTTCTAGATTCCCACCAATCTGGACTCAGTGTTTCAAGCTAAGTTCCCTGTTAGCGATAGACTTGGCTCAGTGTAAAAAATTTCTGAACCAGGGGTGTCTTCCTTAGTGATGTGTAATTTGTGGATTTTAAACAGGTTGAGGGGTGATGGTTCTTCACTCTTCCCAAAATGCTTCCTAAATCACTTCCCTGCCGTGTTTACGTGCAGATCACCGATGACCAGGGGGAGGGGTGCGAGGGCACCCAAGGACACTTTCGGCTGAAGTTCTGGGATAAGGGACCCATTACCGATCCATCAGGAATGAAGACAACACACAAACAGCCCCGGCAGAAAGGCACATAAAGAGGAGAAGGCCGGTCCCTTTATGATGGATGCCCGGGAACGCTCTGAGCTGCAAGACGCTCATTAGAGGGCCGGGTAAATACTGTTTATGCCTGCAAGTAATCATATTTGTCAAGCAATCCAGGAACTGAAGGAAGACTCAGGCTGCTTTATACTTAACTGTCCCCTTGTCTGCTGACAATAAATAAACCAAATGAGAAGAAAATTGCAATAAACTATCTTTTTTTTTCCTCTTCTGCTCATCTTCAGCCCTCTGTGATGAAAGAGGACACATTTAGACCACAACCCTGACAACAACTTTAAAATTAATCTTCCTTTTCCATAACAGCGCCCCTTTCCTCTGCTGGGCCTGGGGGGGCTCCTGCAGCTTCGGGGGGCCGTGGGTAACAGTCCCTGAGCCTTCGTTATTCTTTCTGGGCTGAGTCATGGCCCGGGAAGACGTTTGTGTGTGCACTGAGGAGTCAGAGAGGAAGATAAGGAGGGGGATTCTGAAATGGAAAAACTGTCCGTGGCAGGATTTAGATTTAGAGGAACCATGATTGTGCCTGAATGTGGGATGCCTTTAAAATGTCATAATTAAAGAGTGTCAGTGTTTTAAACAGAGATCACGAAAACCTGAAGGGATCATATAAGGCAGGCTGACTGAGAAACTGGCTGGGAACTAATGAAAACATGCCAGGGTGTTTTTAAGGAACCACTGGGTGCAGGAATCTTCAAGTCCAGGACCTAAGGGACGGTCTGCAAATGAGGCAGGACTTGAAAATGCACCCCAAAAGGGATGTCCCTGCAGGAGTGCGGCATTTCCTGGGCTCCCCCCCAGGGAATGAAGTCCCAGGAAGGCCTGTGGAGGGAGGGAGGGAGGGAGGCCGGGGCGGAGGGTGCGGTGGGGGTGACTGTGCTGCAGGCCTGGGTTCCAGTCTCCTGCCGGCTCATTTTCCATCTTGTAAAGGGCCCTTGGAAACAGCTCCGCTTGTTGGCATATGCAGATGTGATCCTTAATGAAAGCAGGGTTTGTTTTCTGGGCTCAAGAGTCAGAGCATTCTAGTGGGATCAAGGAGGGGAAATCAGCTTTTTTGTGTGCCTCCGAGAACAGCAGAGCTCCCAGGGAGGGGCCAACAATTCAGTCACATTTTATTGTCAAAATTCGAAAGAGGGGAAATTAACTTCAGGAGTAGGCAACTTGTGTTTTCCCAGCTACTGTCTCACTGACGATGGTTCTATGTAACCTGCTTTTCTGTGTTTACAAATTGAGGAGGTATTTAGCCTAAGAAGAATGATTCACTGGGAGGGGAAAAAACCTAAATAAATCATATAAAAATAATTTAAAAAAAAAACAGCGAGTCTTAACATCATTGAGAAATAAAGACCAAATTTAGGTAGAACCTACTACCTTTCAATACCAAAAAGACTGCTTTAATACCTATAAGATGTTAGACATAATGAGAGAGAGAACGGAGAGGTCACCAGGGGTCCCCCACCCAGGATGAAAGCCAACGGTCTTGGGATGATCTCTAGGCTCCCATGACCTGGTGCCCTTCCTTCTTCTCTGACCTCAGGCCTCCTACTGCCACTCTGCTCCAGCCACATTGGTAGCTTCCTCTCCATTCCTTAAGCATAGCTGAATGCTTCTGCCCCAGGGCCTTTGCACCTGCCATTCCCTTTGTCTGGAATGCTCTTTGCCCTGACACTTCTGGTCTTCACTTCATTTTCTACACGAGGCCCTCCCTGGCCATCCTAGCTAAAAATTCAACCCTCCTCCAACACAGCATCTTCTTTCCCTGCTTTGTTACTTTTCTTCATCACTGTTACAGGCAACCAACTGATCAGAATTTTTTTTGAAAATCCAAAACATTTTAAAAAGCACAACTTGAATTTCCCACATACTGGCAAATGCTTACATGGCATTTCTATTTGGACTTACAACCATGTGTATAGCATTTACATTGCATGAGGCATATTAAGTAATAGAGAGATGATTTAAAGTATATTAGAGGATGTGCACAGGTTAATGCATATGCTACGCTGTTTTATATAAGGGACTTGAGCCTCCAAGGAATCTGGTATCTGTGGAGGGGGTCCCAGCACCAGTTGCTGCAGGTACCGAGGGATGAACGCACGCATTTTCCTCATCTAAACTGTCTACTCTCTTTCTCTAGAATGTAAGCTTCATGAAGGCAAGGATCTTTGTCTGTATTGCTCACAGGCATCACCGTGCACATTCAATAAAGATGCACTGAATGAATAACGGATGAGTCAACGGATGTAACATGTCAGAAAGTGTGACTTTTTTTCAGGAGCAAAGATTCAAAGATTTCTTTGAGGGCAGTTCGGCTGCTCAACCTGGGGACTCTTTTCCAACCTCTCTTACGAGGACTCTTAGCCATGGAGCATCACACACTCTGGCCGACCTGAGCGCTGGGAGTTATGAAAAGCCGCCGACAACGGAATCCTTTGTAGGGAATATCGGCAGAGATCCGACGGATGCTCAGCACACCTGCTTCTCCGTGCTGAGCTCACAAGTACACAGCACGTACTTCCCAGCCGCTTGTGTCTCAGCGGGGCTGTGGGGCCGGTGGGACACAGACGGGAGAGACGCCTGCCACCTCCAGGTCTGGCCCCTACAACACTCCAAGCAACTCTCCCCTTGCTCCCTCTTCAGGAGGCTGCAGTAGAGGAGTCTGAGGTCCTAAAAGATGCTGGAGCCAATGGATGGAAGAAGCCCAGGTCCTGGAATGATCCTGGGATCGGTGCTCCCCCTCCCCCACCTAGGACTGTGCCAAGAATGTAAAAGACTCTCCTGTTGTTAATGCACTGAGAGTTGGGTGGGTGGCGGCGGCGGGGGGGCAGTGTTTGTCAAAGCAGCTAATGTGACTTACCCTACTAAATGCAGATATTAAGATATGAAGGCTGTTACATTAGAAAGAGCCACGTCAGGCAGTAATGCACTTGGTTATCTGACGCATGTCACACTGCTAGGAGAAACCTAATTTGCCTTTTTCCAACTGGAAGTTCAGCCTCACTGGACTTTTGTAAAAGTTACAATGAGCTTCCAAGGGAGAGATAAGGGGAGATGGGAGAAGCTGTTAAACACTTTAACTGGCTTCTTCCCCTAACAATAGAACCGACTTTACACATGGGCAGCAGCTGGGGTAACTTCTGCAGAGAAACTTGCAGTGACCACTGACCCAACCCCAGTTCGGAGATGCTGAAAACTGAAAAGGCCACCGTCCTCATCAACGTGCAGGGAGCTTGTGCGTACGATGCGAAAGCTGCACTGTCTGCACTCCACGGCGTAGCTTTCAACTCGGGTTTTCATGATTAGAAGGTAACTTTTGTACGTACTGAATATGATCCACTCTCAAGGGGGAGTTTCTCCCTCTTTCACCTGGATCAGGACATTCAGACCAGCATCAGACACACCACACTGCCAGGCCCGGCTAGCACAGTTCCAACACAGCCGAAGTCTTCACGGCGTATGGCAAATAGAAACACGAAAACCCAGTGAAACATTACCTGCCCAGCCAGCATTTCATATAACAGGACGCCATAGGCCCACCAGTCCACGGATTTCCCATATGGCTGATAAGCGATTATCTGTGTGAAAACAAACACACCAATTACACATTTAGTGGCCAATCAAAAAGCTTGTGTTGGAACAGGTAAGTCAAGCATGCAGGCATTTACACACTCAGTTCATGCACACGAGGTGATGCTGCAACATGTGTCCTTGAGTTTTGAAGAGGGCCCTTCCAATCAGACGCATGGAGAACTACCCGCCCCGTGATTCACTGCTTGAAACCTGCTTTGGGACCCCTCTTCTGAATCCACCTGGAGATGCCACCGCACTGTTGGAAGGTAGACTGAATTATCTTCCTGGGTGAAAAATATTTGGGCACTGAGGTGGATTTAATTCTTGGAAAAAGCCAGAGGTCATTCAGTGCAAAGGTCTGATGAAATAAGATGATCAAACCATGCAATAGAGTTTTGCTGGAAGCAATAAACGTGATGATGATGATGATGATGATGAGGACCAAGAGGAGGAGGAGGAGGAATCACTGAAGGAAAAATTCTAGTTTCCTCGTGTCGCACGACAGGTACGAAAACATCTGTGGAAGGACTGAAGTTTCAAAATGTTTTAAAAAGAGACATAAAACATGATAATCAAATGGAGTATCTGGACCTCGTCTGAATCTTGATTCAAACCAATCAACTGTAAAAAGACATGGTGAAAATTAAAATGCGGTCTTAATTTTTGATTTTTTTTTTATTGAGGTATATAGTTGGTTCACTATGGTGTGTTAATTTCGGGTCCACAGCATAGTGATTCAGTTATACATACACACATACTCCTTTCCATAATTCTTTTTCATTATAGGCCGTTACAAGGTATGGAGTATAGTTCCCTGTGCTGTACGGCAGGGCCTTGTTGTTCATCTAGTTTATATGTAGTAGTGTGTATCTGTAAATTCCGAACTCCCAGTTTACCCCTACCCCTCCCCTTTCCCACCCTGGTAACCGTAAGTTTGTTTTCTATGTCTGTGAGCCTGTTTCTGTTTTATAAATAAGTTCATTTGCGTCCTTCTATTAGATTCCATATATAAGTGACACCATATGGTATTTTTCTTTCTCTTTCTGGCTTACTTCACTTTGGTCTTAACACTTGATGAGACTGAGGGATTATTGCTAATATAGTTACATGGGATAAACGATACGGTGATTGGTTCCAAAGTGTCCTTTTCAGTTAGAGATGAAGTACTCATGGGTTAAATGACAGGATATCTTAGATTTGTTTTAAATGCATCAGGAAAATGGGTGGGGGAGGTCGAGACGAAATAAGTTGGCAAAGTGCAGGCAGCCGGTCAAGCTGGGTGATGGGTCCATGGGGACCTTCCCCTGTGTTCCCTCCTCTACCTCTGTGACCATCAGAAGTACCAGCGTGATTCTATAACCTCTCCTTGTGGAAGACGGTGATACTGACTTTGGTTTCTAAGTGTGGCGTGGTTTATTTCCACACTGGCTTCGCTGGCACACAATTTCCAGACCTATGGATCATGCCCCAGGATTCATGGGAAGGACATACTGACAGGTGCTCAGCGCAACCATTCTGCCATCTTGCATACAAACTGGACTTTGGAAAGTTCCAGGGTATTTTGTTAAATGGCTCACTATGTCTAGTTAAATGTCCTGGGACATAAGCTAACTTCCCGAATGTCTGCCCATCTCCATTCCTTTAACGTATCACTATCATCTCTCCCGATGGCACGGGAAGTACACGTTCCCCGGACTTGCCTCCGTGCGGGCGGGAACAAGGGGTACATGTTTGAATTTGGAAGCTTGATAGCTCGTTTCCTTGACAAGAAAAGGATTGCCAGAGGAACCTACAAAGAGGCCTTAATTTCTTTTGAAAACTACATTTGTTCTTTTCTTAACACTTGGAAAGTACACACAAGAAAAGCCCCAGAAGCCTTAACAAAACGAGGCTCTAATTTATTCCCTAATGACATGAAATGATGGAAGGCATTCCAGTTCCCAGACAAGACATCACTGCCTCAAAGCCTACCTGGGCCAAGTAGAAGAACAACAGAAATTCTCCTTGGGAGAGTAAAGGTGCACTTGCCAAGCACCTACGATATATCACTCTACACACATTAGGTGTAATCCAATGAGGCAGAAATCATTATTATTCTCATTTTACAGGCAGCAGAACTGAGGTGGAAAAGGCTTAAGAAACTTGCCCGAAGCCAATCAAGTAATAAGTCGTGCTCTGAATATTGACGTATTTGTTTTAAAAATACAATGTATGGCTTTCAAATACATGGAATTACTCACCTTGGGATTAACAAAACATAAATCAAAGGGCTCTGAGGGTTCGTTTCATGAGATGTGAAATCATTTCAGTTGGTTGTAACTCGTATTTCAAAAGCACTTGAATAAAACTTGTTCTTGTAACTATATTAAAACCAGTCCCTGCCATCCGTTTTCATTAATCAGTGTTTTAGTTTTTCTTAATTTTTTAAAAAAATTGAAGTGCAGGTGATTTACAATATGATGTCAGTATCAGGTGTACAGCAAAGTGATTCGGTTACCTATATATACATGTATAAATCTATATTTTTCTGATTCTTTTGCATTATAGTTTATTACAAGATATTAAATATAGTTTCCTATGCTATACAGTAAAACCTTGTTGCTCTACTTTAGTTAGTTTGCTTTTAACACAGGCTGAGCTGAGGCACCATTTCTACACATATTTGTCTTACTGCCCAGACCCCTCTCTGCTCTGGTAGTGGAAGGTGCCCCACTGAGTTTGGAGAGCTGTCAGAAGTCAAGGGTGTGGAAACCGTGTTTCCGGTCAGAATGATTCACAAATCCAAAGAGTCATGGCCACCTGAAGTGTTTGTTTGTTTTGACTCTGTCAGTCTTGGTCCAACTTGCTTCTCATGTTCCATTTCCACAGTGTTCCGCTCTCCTGACTGGTGCTGATCACACCTGCTCCTTCCCCTCCCAGGCTTACAAAAGCAAAAGGCCAAGGGCCAGTGGCTCGTGTTCCTTGGTGACGGCGTTCGTCAACCCCTACAGACTGCCAGCTCTGCATCGAAACTACAAAGTCCCTCTGAACATCGTGATGCCTTCACCTGTTAATAATGGGATGAGATCTAGAATTGGGCCGGAGCACTTCCTCCTGGGGAAGTTCATAGTCTATCACCCCTGCCTTGTGCACTGAATGAAAGGAGAAAATTCAGAGACCTAAGGTACAGGGGATAGGGTGCAACCTCACCACTGCATATAATTCATGTTTAGAACGAAGCATACTTCCCCTCAATGATCTGCTACTATTAATAAATACCTCCAAATTACCCAAAACCTCACTGCAAAAGGGGAACAGTGTTAGAGAGCCCCACCAAAGAGAAACATTTCAATGCACCTGATTTAGGATGTTGGTTACACTGTGTCTTGTGAGCTCTCTAGACCTGCAGCATCCAATACAGTAGTTACTAAAGCCACATGTGGCTACAAGCCTTGGAAAGGTGGCTAGTGCAAATGGAGATGTGCTTTGGGTGTAAAATACACATTTGAGTCAGAAAACTTAGTATCAAAATATGCAGAATAACTCACTGATAATTTTGCATTTTGGATATACTGGGTTAAATGAAATATATTAAAATTAATTGCACCTGTTTCTTTTTTAACTTAAAAAAATGTGGCTGTTTAAATGCAGTTTTGGCTTTGAATTTTAAAATTTCTGTTGGACAGTGCTGGTCTAGATGGTCTGAGTTCCACTGGCCCCTACAACGCACTCTAGTTCCCCAGCTCTCGTTGGCCTAGGGAGGCAGCTTTGGGCTAAAGACCGGGCTCAGGGACCACAGAATGGATGGGGAGGCTCTCCTGTGCCTGTTCCCGATGGGGACAGGAGCAGGTGTCTCTGGCACTTGGAAACTTGCAGCCACGCCTGGAAGATGCCTGACATCCTGTAGCCCCAGGCAAGGGGCGCCACGGCAATCTGGTTCCCACTGCAGAGAAACTCACAGAAGGAGAGCCAGGCTTGGCAAAGAGGGCTCGAGCTGGCCGACCTCCCTGTGGCACATGGAAGGCTGAACTTTCGCTTCAGAGACAGACCCCCCAACGGGGCCACTGTCATTCAGTTTCACTGCTGTTTGTCATTATGATCATTATTATTATACTTCCAGGAGCCAACTGCCCTGGGGGGATGTCAGGATGTTACAAATGGCTGCCTGTCTTGTAAAAGTAAGATATGAATGAGCTTTCTTCCAGCCCGGGCACAGGACCAGGGATGAAGGGGGCGGAGGGCAGCTTCTGGTCTCTTATGAGGCCAAAGGCCTACAGCAGCTGGAAGGATGTCGCTCCAGGGCCACCCTCCCTTCCACTTTCTGCCAGGGCTACACACTCTGAGGCCTCCCGAAGCAGACGAGGCTTCAGCAGCTTTTCTGAAGAACCTGGGGGCAGCGTGGTAAGGCCTAAGGTGCCCCTGGAAATCGTTAACACTGACTGTAACCAACGTCACCATCACGACTTTCAGGAAGTGCCAGGTTCTTTCGCTCCATTAGCTCACGTAGCCCCCACGAGACCTCAGTGGGGTGGGAGCATTCCACTTCAAAGATGAGGAAACGGGGTACAGAGAGGTTATGTAGTTTGCCCTAAGGCTACACAGCTAGTAAGTGGCAGAGCCGGGATGAAACCCTGGTCATCTGGCTTTGGCATCCACAATTTGGACCATTTTTCTAAACTGAAGTTTCATCGGCTCTTGCTGTGGTTCCCTGGACAGCTACGGTGGGAACTGGGTGGGAACTGGCCCAGTTGAAGTGACTCGTGCCAAAAAGGGGTTCAAATGCTTAATTGGGTCAAAACAGCCAAGATGCCCACTTCAATCCGGAAGCCTGGCTTTGAAGGCTTTGTCATAAAGGACCCCGTGAGACTAACGTGTGCGAGGAGGCCCGCGCTCCCACGCTGGGCTGCACTGGGCTGCTCTGCTCTTCCCTTTCACACTGTGTTTACTCACTGACCGCCCCAACCCCGAGCCCCCTCTAAAATAAATGGTCTGACTGCAGAAGGCCCTTTGCAGGCTGCATTACAAA